AGCGGCAACCAGCTGACTTACCCCATAAAGTACATCGACATCGGCTACAACACCCCCGACGAGGAGCGCGGAGGACACGAGACCTCGCCGTACCACATGGACTACGAGGAGGACTTCGAGATCGACGACGCGCGCCCGAGCTAACACCAGTAGCGCGCGCCTTTCCAGAGCTCATCGTCCTCTATAGTTTACTATGGAATGCGGTTTTCTTTGAAGGAAATCGTTCATAGAAAATGGGGAGTTTTGATTGCAAATATAAATGACGTAAGCTGTCGATTGAAAATTTGTTCTCTCTCTTAGGTAACACGGGGTCTAAGCAGACCCATAAGGGTGTTAAAGGACAGTAGACGATACGAGAGAAAAACGATACCTCATCTTTTATTGTAGGGAAAATACAGAGAACCTGACTTATGGCTGCCGCGTAGAAGAAAACGGGAGTGGTCTTGGTCAGTTGGTGAGGAAGCCGGTCTTTGAAACCGTGTCCGAGATATCAACGACACCTTTTAAATTGCTAAAGTAAGAGATTTATTAATACTAATAAAATTATAGGTAATTATGACGTGTGCCAGGTGTCCCCAAAGTCAAAACATTAATGAGTTAAACCAGTGCAGATTATGTTCAATACCAGAATCTAGGACCTGTGTAAGGGAGTATAAACGAATAAGAATCAGAAAAAAACACTGAAGCTGAAGAAAAATAAGAAAGGAAAACAAAAGGAGACGAACTCGGCGAAAAGAAGAAAAACCAACATTGAGGAACTGAAATTCTGCCAACTGATGCCTGTAAGGTAAATTGAATCGTCTTGTGCAGACAAAATTCAGGTTGAAGCCCACATAGCATCAGGTTCTAGATGTTTGATAGTTTGCCATAGGATTTCAGATAGTGTATAGTTGGAACAAGTGCTTTACGCAAGCTACAGTGTATGAGTTTTATAGCTTCTTATAGACAGGATGGTACTAGAAAGTAACATAACCTTTGTATTCTGCTGAATATAAACTCTAGATTTACCACATAGATCGTTTTCTACTCTCTTAAAAGTCCTAGGAGCAGATCAGCCATTTCACAATGTTTGAGAAAGAAATCAGTGAAATAGTAAAAGAAACAGAATTAAGAAAAAGTGAGAAAAAAAAACGACAACTGAAGATGTTACAGCTGATGGCGCGCCCGAAACGCTGCAAGGATGCAAGTGGAGTGACGCAGCGTCCGAAACATTGCCCGAGTTTCTCCTGATATACTCATTTTCAATGTTCTCTTTATGTTTGTTGTTCGGGATCGGTTGTGGATGCGTTAATCAGCAACTTCTGCATTTAAATGTAATTGTCAGTGTTAAGTGTTATACTTGAAGTGTTGTATACTATAACGTGCTAGTTTGTGCATTCATCATGCCACAGGAGAGGTGCCGTAAGAATTTACGTATTTTTATAGCCCGGATGATTTTTTTTTTCTTATTTCACTTAAGTGTTTTAACTCTGATAGGGAGATCAAGTGCCACATAACATTAAAGTTATTGTACAAAAGGGAGCTTGTATGACTGATACTGATGTAATACGAAGCTACACTTCTTACATAATTGGTCATTTTGATAAAGAAAAAGTAATAACATAATGATTTGTGATTAATTAATATTGACGAGAGTTAGCCAAAAATACATAAATGAATAAAAGAACTTCATGATTTTAAGGAAGACATATATCGAAATTATTAAGGTTAAAAGCGCACAAAACAAAGGTAATGTGCTAATGTTATTATTATTTCTTGTTGCTACTGATATAATTATTTTCATAATAATGGCGGGTAATTATTGTTACTGTTATTGTTAGTGCTATCATTATTTTATTATTATTATTACCATTATTATTATTATTATTATATTATTATTATTATTATTATTATTATTATTATTATTGACTGTTATTAACATTACTACTATTATGATTCTAAACTTTTAGATTCGCAAAGAATAACGATACGGTTGCTGATATCATTATCATAATTATGCGAGCTTCCTCTGTAAACTTGTAAATCTAAGAGTCTGTGTGAATACTTTATAATTTTAATACGACTGTTTATAGATGTTTTAATTTTAAGAGCAGTTGCTCCCTTAGGCGATTTGAGTTTTGTTTTCTTATCTTTAAATATATTCTTAAAACTAACTTTTCTTTCACTTAAACTGGTTAATAAGATACAGACATTTGAATACAAATGCGGCCCTTTTGAATCCATCATTAATCAAAAATAAGACAAGAAAAAATTATATATCGAAATTCTGTCCTTTCACATTATTATTTTTTTTTTTTCAATTCTTTATATTTGTCTTAACTTATGATCCTTGTCGACTGATGATTAAAAAAATAAATAAATTGACCAACAGACTGTAAGATTAAGTTGGTTCAAAACAGTTTAAATATATATGTTTTTTCGCTTTCTTTCGTCTGTCGGTCTGATTGTTAACATAAAGTAAAATAAAATCTAAAAAAGGAAAATAAAAATACTAAATGCACCACCGAAGTTTTATTTACCAGATTTCTTCATTAGACGCAACAGATGAAAATATGAACAAGAGAGAGAGAGAGAGAGAGAGAGAGAGAGAGAGAGAGAGAGAGAGAGAGAGAGAGAGAGAGAGAGAGAGAGAGAGAGAGGGGGGGAGAGTCTTATTCTCTGACTGTTTCTCTTTCTCCCCCTCTCTTTTTATCTTTTTCTTATTCTCTCTCTGTCTGTCTCTGACCCCCACCCTCTCCTTCCCTCTCTCATTCCGAGTAACACTTAAACATTTTCCATTATCCGTCTCTGGTCTTCCTCCCCCTCAGGAAATCTACTCGTGGGACAGCGGCAACCAGCTGACTTACCCCATAAAGTACATCGACATCGGCTACAACACCCCCGACGAGGAGCGCGGAGGACACGAGACCTCGCCGTACCACATGGACTACGAGGAGGACTTCGAGATCGACGACGCGCGCCCGAGCTAACACCAGTAGCGCGCGCCTTTCCAGAGCTCATCGTCCTCTATAGTTTACTATGGAATGCGGTTTTCTTTGAAGGAAATCGTTCATAGAAAATGGGGAGTTTTGATTGCAAATATAAATGACGTAAGCTGTCGATTGAAAATTTGTTCTCTCTCTTAGGTAACACGGGGTCTAAGCAGACCCATAAGGGTGTTAAAGGACAGTAGACGATACGAGAGAAAAACGATACCTCATCTTTTATTGTAGGGAAAATACAGAGAACCTGACTTATGGCTGCCGCGTAGAAGAAAACGGGAGTGGTCTTGGTCAGTTGGTGAGGAAGCCGGTCTTTGAAACCGTGTCCGAGATATCAACGACACCTTTTAAATTGCTAAAGTAAGAGATTTATTAATACTAATAAAATTATAGGTAATTATGACGTGTGCCAGGTGTCCCCAAAGTCAAAACATTAATGAGTTAAACCAGTGCAGATTATGTTCAATACCAGAATCTAGGACCTGTGTAAGGGAGTATAAACGAATAAGAATCAGAAAAAAACACTGAAGCTGAAGAAAAATAAGAAAGGAAAACAAAAGGAGACGAACTCGGCGAAAAGAAGAAAAACCAACATTGAGGAACTGAAATTCTGCCAACTGATGCCTGTAAGGTAAATTGAATCGTCTTGTGCAGACAAAATTCAGGTTGAAGCCCACATAGCATCAGGTTCTAGATGTTTGATAGTTTGCCATAGGATTTCAGATAGTGTATAGTTGGAACAAGTGCTTTACGCAAGCTACAGTGTATGAGTTTTATAGCTTCTTATAGACAGGATGGTACTAGAAAGTAACATAACCTTTGTATTCTGCTGAATATAAACTCTAGATTTACCACATAGATCGTTTTCTACTCTCTTAAAAGTCCTAGGAGCAGATCAGCCATTTCACAATGTTTGAGAAAGAAATCAGTGAAATAGTAAAAGAAACAGAATTAAGAAAAAGTGAGAAAAAAAAACGACAACTGAAGATGTTACAGCTGATGGCGCGCCCGAAACGCTGCAAGGATGCAAGTGGAGTGACGCAGCGTCCGAAACATTGCCCGAGTTTCTCCTGATATACTCATTTTCAATGTTCTCTTTATGTTTGTTGTTCGGGATCGGTTGTGGATGCGTTAATCAGCAACTTCTGCATTTAAATGTAATTGTCAGTGTTAAGTGTTATACTTGAAGTGTTGTATACTATAACGTGCTAGTTTGTGCATTCATCATGCCACAGGAGAGGTGCCGTAAGAATTTACGTATTTTTATAGCCCGGATGATTTTTTTTTTCTTATTTCACTTAAGTGTTTTAACTCTGATAGGGAGATCAAGTGCCACATAACATTAAAGTTATTGTACAAAAGGGAGCTTGTATGACTGATACTGATGTAATACGAAGCTACACTTCTTACATAATTGGTCATTTTGATAAAGAAAAAGTAATAACATAATGATTTGTGATTAATTAATATTGACGAGAGTTAGCCAAAAATACATAAATGAATAAAAGAACTTCATGATTTTAAGGAAGACATATATCGAAATTATTAAGGTTAAAAGCGCACAAAACAAAGGTAATGTGCTAATGTTATTATTATTTCTTGTTGCTACTGATATAATTATTTTCATAATAATGGCGGGTAATTATTGTTACTGTTATTGTTAGTGCTATCATTATTTTATTATTATTATTACCATTATTATTATTATTATTATATTATTATTATTATTATTATTATTATTATTATTATTGACTGTTATTAACATTACTACTATTATGATTCTAAACTTTTAGATTCGCAAAGAATAACGATACGGTTGCTGATATCATTATCATAATTATGCGAGCTTCCTCTGTAAACTTGTAAATCTAAGAGTCTGTGTGAATACTTTATAATTTTAATACGACTGTTTATAGATGTTTTAATTTTAAGAGCAGTTGCTCCCTTAGGCGATTTGAGTTTTGTTTTCTTATCTTTAAATATATTCTTAAAACTAACTTTTCTTTCACTTAAACTGGT